ATCCTGTTTTATTTTTCTTCATTGAATCTGACATTTTTACTCTCTCTCTACAGAGATTTTTCTTGTTCACTTGTTTCCTCAATGCTTAAAACAGTAGATGCTAATATTTGTTGAATTATAAACTTGATGTTGAACCTCATGAGCTGTTCATCTTTATTGCTTAACTTTTATTGCACATTTTAAAACATCTTTCTTTTCTGCATTTTGAGATACTTCCTTATCTTCCAGCAACTACTGAATATTTGCTTTTGATATCTGTTTGTTTGTTTGTTTGTTTGTTTTTGAGAAGAAGTCTCGCTCTGTCCCCCAGGCTGGAGTGCAGTGGTGAGATCTCAGCTCACTCCAGCCTCTGCCTCCTGGGTTCAAGCGATTCTCCTGCCTCAGCCTCCAGACTAGCTGGGATTACAGGCGCATGCAACCACGCCTGGATCATTTTTATATTTTTAGCAGAGATGGGGTTTCACCATGTTGGCCAGGCTGGTCTCAAACTCCTGACCTTGTGATCCGCCCGCCTCAGCCTCCCAAAGTGCTGGGATTACAGGCGGGAGTCACCACACCCAGCCAATATCTGTATTTTTAAATCCTAACAATTCTTGGTCTCTGGCTTTTTTTCACTGCACCCTGTTTTATGACTGCAGTGTCCGCCTCAGCCTCTCTAATAAGGATATTAAATAGACTCTCTTCTTCCCCTTGCTCCAAAAGATTATCTTCTGATTCCTGCATTTTCTTTATTTCTTACTTTGTTTATCTTATTCTTTCATTTGTTTTGGCTATGTTTTTCTAGTAGCTGGTTTGGGTTTTTTCAGCAGTTGTTTATTTCTCTAATGTATCTTTTCCATCGATGTAAAGTGGATGAGGGGTAGGCCTCTCAGAGATATATGGTCATGAAAAGGAGGGAAAGGAGGAGGAGTTCAGTTGGCTGAATTATTCATAATGAATTTAATATTAATTGTCATGTTGTTTGTTCCACAGCCAATTCTTCTTTGCTTCCAAGACTCTCAAAGAATTACACTTATCTATGGTATCTTTGGCTGTGATTTTCCTTTCTTTTTTCTGTCAATTTGATCCTGTCTACTTATATTTTGGGAAAACCATAAAAATTCTTATATCTTTTTTGTTATACTGTAAATTCATTTTTTCTTTTAATGTTTTTTACACTTCATTCTTATAAAAGATTGAAGAAATACATGTTCACAAAGCAAAATAGAAAAATTAATTTTTCTTCTTCTCCTTTTACTCCCCTTCCCAGAGGTAATCACTGTTAATAATTTAGAGTACTTATTTTATTTTTAACAAAAATACAATTATCAGGCTTTGGCTTATTTTTTTTGACTTAACAATATATCTTGGTCATCTTTTTCATCTTAGCATTGTACTAGGTTTTTTTATAGACAGAAATCCTAACTTTTACTAGGATGTAAAAAGTAACATTTTGTTTTAATTTGCATTTATCTGATTAGAAATTAGGTTGAGCATTCTTTTCCATGTGTGTATTGGCCCTCTGTTATTTCGTTTTGCGAAATAGCTGACTTGTTTCTACCCTTTGTCCATGTTTTTGGTTGTTTCTTTTTTTTGTTGTTGTTGTTTTTTTTGGAGACGGAGTTTCGCTCTTGTTACCCAGGCTGGAGTGCAATGGCGCGATCTCGGCTCACCGCAACCTCCGCCTCCGGGGTTCAGGCAATTCTCCTGCCTCAGCCTCCTGAGTAGCTGGGATTACAGGCACGCGCCACCATGCCCAGCTAATTTTTTGTAGTTTTAGTAGAGACGGGGTTTCACCGTGTTGACCAGGATGGTCTCGATCTCTTGACCTCGTGATCCACCCGCCTCGGCCTCCCAAAGTGCTGGGATTACACATTCTATATATTCTTCTATTTGTACTTTTTAAAAACAAATTTGCTATTTTTTTTGTAGCTTGCCTGTCTTATAATTTTATTTATGGCATATTTTCTTTCTCAGAAATCTTAACATTTTTATT